ATGGGCTTGAGAAACAAAGACCCGAGGTCAGATCCTGCCTCTGCTGTCTACAGCTGTGTGGCTTTGAGTGAGTTACTCAGCCTCTCAGAACCTCGGGTTCCCTGGCTGCAGATGCTCACTTCCAGGGCATTGTTGGACGGACTGGAGAGAGAGAGAGTGCAGTGTGAAGTACAGCAGCAGGGCCGTGACAGCTGGAGCCCTTACCCTTGTGACAGCACACAGTGGGGGGTGGGAGACTCAGAAGCATGGGAACTGGGAAGAGAAATTGCTCACCTACCTGCTTTGTTCACAACAACAGCAAAAATTCTTCATAGCTGCCTATCTCCTCTAACTTTAGAAAGCCCCAGGAGACGAAGCATTGTCTGCCTTGTTTCACGGGCTAACGAGCACTCATGCTTATTTATTCAGCTAAGCTTTTGGTTTTTGGTTTTTGGTTTCTGGGCATGTTCTAACTTATAAGAATATAGTGATTGTATTATTACTATGCTTTGTTTTGATATAATGAAATACCAGAGGCAAGCTAACTTAATAAAGAGGTTTATTGAGTTCATGGTTCTGGAGGTTCAAGGGTATGACAATGGCTTTGTCTCAGCTCTGATGAGCACCCTGTGCATGGCATGATGTGACGGCACATGTGGGAGAAAGATCCTGAAGAAGGAAGCTTCTTATGTGAATTTGTTCAGGAGTCCCACAAGAACTATCTAATCGCTTTCAAGGACAGAGCCCCCAGTGACATAGACAGGTCTGACTCTTAATGTCTTGCCACCCCCAGTATCACTGTGTGGGGAGCAGGCTTCCACCATTTGAACCCCTGGAGATGAACTATTTCTAAAACATAACTATGACGCATAAACAAAGGCTGGTGAGCCACCCAGTAGCCCAGACCCTGCCTTCGGGTTCTCTAAGCTGGCTGTCATTCAGGCCTCACTCTCACCTCTAGGTCAATGAAGGCCATGAATCTTCAAAGTGTCCAGACATTAGAGGAGAATAGAGGCAGGACTAGAAAGGAGCCACTCCTTGAGCCCTCATCCCATGACTGTCTAGAGCACTTGGAGGAGGAGCCAGGTCACCTCCCAAGGCCTCTTTCCTTGATGGCTCTTCCTGACTTGGCAGGTACCCATTCTGGGTTTGTGGAGGCTCATTCCCATTGGACAATTTCTTCTGGGCTGCTGCTCTGGGATCTGTGCCCGGCAGACTCCGGCATTCACCCAGTTGAGCCAGAGTGTGACGAGGGGAAGACATACAGGTGTTGCATGTCAATAGCATGAAGGAGGTGGGAGAGACTATAGTCCTTGTGTGGACACTGGCAAGGCCAGGTAGGAAAGCATGTGTCAAAAGGCGTGCACCCGTAGAGTAAGTGCAGGCATTCAAGTGACCACTTCGGGTCAAGAGATTTACTGAACTTGGAAACTGAAAGAGGCTCATGTTTGGGCAAACATAGCTAAGAGTACAAATACGTGGATGTGTTTGTGGCATGGGTGTTTGAGTGCGCGCTGTGTGTTATGAGAGTGGTGGGTGGGTGTGAATATGTATGTGAGCTGTATACTTCCACGATGTAAACAGGAAGCAAAGAGGCTGATGCCATAAGCCAAAGACAGAAACTTCACAAATACTTGTTTCCGTACTTGAGCTTGCATATGTTAATGTTGGGTGTTGCTGTGGTCTGAATGCTGCTGTTCTCTCCAAATCGATAAACTCCCAAATATGGCAGTCTTAAGAGAAAGGGGCTTTTGAAAATGGGATTGGGATCCTTATGTAAGAGACTGAAGGAAGCCGCCTTGTCCCTCTGGCTTGCAAGGATGCAGCAATAGTTACGGGCACCATCTTGATTTCCTGGACCATTTAAATCAACAAGGCTCTGATCATGTGTGTCTTAGTGTATAGTGAGTCCCTTTTAGAGATACCCCAGGCTGAAGTCCTGTGTGCTTTATAAAGCAAAGAGATGCATTTACTTCATAGTTTTGGAGGCTGAAGTCTGAGATGTTGGAGCCATATTCTATGAGTCTCTGGTGATGGCCATTTGGCTGACAGTATAACACAGGGATAGCATCTCATGACAGAGTATGTACAAGAGAAGTCACATGATGAGCATGAAACAGATCAGACTGACTCTTTTACAGGAACTCACCCTCATAAGAACTAGCCCATGCTACAAGATCTAACTCAGTCATGAGACCAACACTGATCCCTTCATAAAAAAGGTACCTAACCCAATCGCTCCTAGGTCCTACCTTCTGAGTGCCCTGCAACTGGGAACTGAGCTTCTAGCACATAAACCTTTAGGGGAACAAACATATCAACCCACAATGACCCCAACACTCATTGCTCCAGCTAAATTACCCAGAGATCACATGACCAGGAAGAACCTGTGACCCAAGGGTTGAATAGTCCCAAAGATTGTCATAGCTACCCCTGGTCCTGTCGCTCAAAGCAAAGGGCCTGCAGCCCAAATGAACAGTTTATGCCAGTGTCCTGCACCCCAGGGATAGAGGGGCTGGTGGGAAGGCCTGGATAATTCCCTCGCTGCCTTTCTGTCTCCTGGAAGCGGCTTGCTCACACAAGCTGAAGGTCTGACATTCCTTCTCTGCTCATTTCCCTCTGCTTTTGTCTAATGAGGTACGGAGGCTGCCAGAACTGACAATGGAATTACCTAGATGCTGGATTCTGCCAATCTCCATTAGGAACCGAGGGAGAGAAAGCCAAAACTCCAGGACACCTTGGAGCTGTTATTGCAATAGGGTTTGCTACAAGAGCAAATAAAACAATCTTTCCCCGAGATGCTCATCCTGGGACGAAGGATGAGTCAGCCTGGCATTCAGCCCAGGCTGCAGCATCCACCATCTCCAGAGCCCAAGGAGATAGAGCCCTGGGAGAGTGAGGACCTCACTGCCGAATAAACCATTGATGAGGCTCCCCACTCTCCTGAGGGAGCTACATGAGGTTGGCTCAAAAAACTGCCCTCCATTTAATTACTTCTGAAAAGGCCAAAGTCTCTGCCAGATTCTCTGACTTACGGACTCTTGACACTCTAGTTTTGAGCTGCTGGTGAGTTGCCTAGTAGCTAGACCATCTCTATGATCCCTTCCTTTCCCTAGGCTTTCCCCATTTGCACAATTTCAAACTATCATGGAACGCCAATAGTCCTGAAGCAACCAGACAAACAAACAAGCATAGGTATATACCTAAACTTCATAACTTACACAAAAATTAACCCCAATTTAATTCTCAATAGGTCATGTCATATTTGGATCATTCATAAAGCATAAGACCATATAATTTCTAGATGAAAACATGGGAACCTTTGTGATCTTGGTTAGGCAATGAGCTTTTATATGAAATTCCAAAAATGTCATCCACAAATAAAAAACAATAAACTGGATATAAATTTCAAAACTTTCTTTTGCAAATAAATGATCCTGGTAATAAAAGGATAACGCAAGCCATAAGCAGGGAACAAATTCTTGCAAATCATACATTTGGCAAAGTACTTAGATCTAGAATTTATAAAGACTCTTCAGAACTCAACAATATGCCGGGCATCGTAGCACATATTTTAGTTTAGCATTCAGGAGACTGAGGTGGGAGGAGTATGAATTTGAGACCAGTCTGGGTTATACAGTGAACTCAAAGCTAGCTTGGACTACAGGGTGGGACAAGACCCTGTCTCAAAAAAACAAACCAAAAAAGTTCAGCAATAAGAAGATAAACACTCAAAGACAACAATTGACAAAAGATCAGAAAAGTCAGTTCTCCAAAGAAAACACAAGGACAACACCACACGTTTGAAAAGTGTCTAAAGCATTAGTAATTGGAGGAGTATTGGACGAGAGCTACAACAACTTGTGAATCTATTACAATGGCAAATAACTAACGGTGAGTGACAGCACCGGTGCTGGGGAGGCCCAGGAGCAGCTGCAGCTCTTGAGCATTGTGGGTGAAAGAACAGATAGCTCAGCTGTTTGGTGACTTCTCGTAATGCTACACACGCTACTACATGATCTGCAACACCATTCTTCTTTGCTCAGTAACAGAAACTCATGTTCACCTAAAGCTTTGAGCATGGACTGCACAGCAGCTTCACTCATGGTTTCCCTGATCTAGAAGAATCTAAATGTTCTCTAGCTGACAAAAACATAACTGCAGCACCTCTGTAGACTGGAATACTACTCAGCAAGGAAAAGAGAATACTGTTTGACACGGCAGCATCATAGTGGTGAACCTTAAATATGTTTTCTTAACTGGGAGAAGTCAGATACAAAATGCTGAGTCCCTACACATGACGTTCTAGAAGCATAGCTATAAGGACAATAAAAATTGCTGCATGGCTGCCATGGGTTAGTTGTAGGGAGAGGGGCTAACACAAAACTGGCAGGACAAAGGGATTTCTGGCAGACATTATTCTATACTGTGACCATGGTGGTTAACTCAAGACCAGTTGCATAAAAGTTTACCAGAAATGTCAAAGAACCTAAAATATAACATAAGCTAATAAATGAACTGCATTACAAATGAATTACCTAGCTACATTGAAATAATAGTAGAAATGAGAAAGAAAATAGCTACCCTAAAGGACAGGAGAATGATTTCAAAGGCATGATACTACACCACACTGTGCTCAGGAAATGTCCCCAGGGTCTTTACAAATCCAACACCAATTTCCCTGAGAGCCTGTGGCTAGAAAAGCAAGTAAGCTCAGAAAAGTGTGCAAACCATCGTGGTCCTTCTGAGATGTCTGTGTTCTATGAGGGACTGCAAACTCTGAATGAGTATCCACTGTACATACAGAAGTATGTACAAACACAGACAGGATTGGGCTCCTGGGAGACACTTTAAAGAACTGTCAATACCTAAGTTTTTTTTTTTTACCTATGTTTCTGTTTTTAAAAGTACCATCCCTAACATATATTGTTGATCTGTTAACAATGAACTCACAGCTGACACCTAGAACTCACATCTGCATGAAATTCACATAAACCCTCATATATTCTCCCTGCCCTGTAAGCAGGCGCACCACAGCCTGCTTACAGGGAGACTAAGCCACACATTGGCGCCATGTTTGCAGGCTTCCTGTAGAGCAAAACCACCAACGAGAAACGCTAACACATGGAAAGCGTGGTATTGAATGACTGCAGAAGAGGTCTTTGTTTTGATGAGAAAGCTAACAGCAGAAGGCAGCCAGAGTCTCCTTTGACCTCAGCCAGGACCCAGAAGGTGGGCTCAGCCAGGACCAAGCATGGGGGATGCAGTTGCTTGGTGCTCTGCTCTCAAATGATGAAGTGTCCTGAGCACTGACTATGGGTTTACAAAGAGTTAGGGAGTGGAAGAATTTGCCAGTACAGTACCTAAACTATGAATAAGAGGTCCTGCTGTGTATTGTAGACCATGACAGGCCAGGGAATGAGGTATACACCCAGCCCACCCCTGTGACAACAGTGGCACTGGCTGAGCACTGGGCTTTCTGGAGTTGAGCTATGTAGAGTTCTCACAGGCAGAGGCTTCTCCATTCTCAGACCAAGGAGAAAACAGAAGCCTAGGAAATGAAGTAATTCCTCGGGTCACCTTAGCTCTGCCCTGCCTGTCAATTTCACTTCGAGATCTGAGACCCTAAGAGCTGAGGCTTTTTGCAGGTAGGGGAATCGGAATGTTTGAAATCCAGGCTTCAGTTTACCCAGATGGTCCATCTTCCCATACCACTGATCTGCTGCTAGTGCTGAATGCCAGGCCTGGTGTAGCCTGCCATCATCCCAGCATCACTCGCTGGGCAAGTGAGCTCATTTACCTTCATTACCGAGTGCAGGTGTGCGGCAGGATTCTGCTCTTGACCGGCAGGTTCCAGTTGCTGACTGCCTTTGTTTCACTCCCTGGTTATCCCAGGAGGAGTCTCAAACCCAACAACCCCAAATAGGACTCTGATTCCTGCCCTAGCCTGCTCCTCCTACATCCTTTCCCGCCTTAGTCAAGGGTAGCTCTGATTGTTCAGACAAGGCATTGCCCTTGAATCCTTCCACCTCCATCCTGCACACTCTGAAGGCATTTTTCTTGTCTCCTAGGACTTCCTGCCTTCACCACTGCTCCCACCTGGAAACCTTGCTCCTGCCTGGGCCCTCTGTCCCCAAGCTGCCCTCTGCCTGCTGCATCCACAGGTTCTGCCTCACACAGTCGGCCAAGCAGGAGCTAGAACTGCCCTTCGAAGATGCACCCAGCTACTTCCTTGCTTAAAACTTCCCAGTGGCCTCCCCGTTACTCCAAGCAAAATCCAAGATGTCTAGATGACCTCCAAAACCATCTGAGTGCTGACCTCTCCTCCCCCGACCCTTTTCCCCAGCCCAATAGCTGCCAACTGTCCTTGAACACCCTCAGCTGGAACTCCTCAGCGGAGACTGTAACTACCTTTACACGGAGAGTAAATCAGTCTCCAGTTTATCACGTTCTGGTGTCCTCCTGGGTTTTCTACTTACTGTGTATTGCTACCTCCTACAATACATTCATTTGCTGCTCATGGCTATCTGCTACAATACATTCATTCTTTTGTGAATGTCTTTTTCAGATTGGAAGCTCACATCTAATTCGTTTGTTGATGTATATCCCCTGTACCAAGAATACTGCCTAAATTAAGCACTTGGGTTATTTAATTTATTTATTTATTTTTAGAAGGGGTCTCACATAGCCCTGTCTGATCTTGAACTTGGTCTGTAGCCAAGGATGACCTTGAACTTCTGATCCTATTGCCTTCCACTCCCAAGCCATGAGCAAGCAAGCACACCTCATTCAGCTGCTCTCAGTGTTTTCAATGATTACATGAGCAAAGTGGGTTTCTGTTTTAATCTGGAACTCTCTGCCTTCTGAGGGTCAGGTTAGGAGACCACCCCCACCCCCCCAACCCCCCACCCCCATCCAGGAAAGTGGAGTTCCCTCTTGGATGCACAGTGCCATTTGGAGAGCCACAGGAGCTTTTAGCAGTGCAAACCAAGAATTCAGGGGCTTAGGCTTGTAAACCCATCAAGTCTGTCCAAATATAACTGGCGACAAGCCATCCGTGTCTCTCCTGCCTTTCATAGAATCAGGGTGTCCCTCTGGCTTGCAAAGCAGCCCATTTTCCATGTAGACACAGCTATCGTTCTCAGAGCCAACATTCTCCAGTCCTCACAGCTGTTCCCAGAGCTTATCTGGAACCTTCTGATTGCATCTCCAAAGAAATAAAATAAATTCCAATCCCAGTTGTTTATTTTTTCCTTCTGTTCATCCAAGACAGGCCTGTTGTGGCTCCTGGAATCCTCAGTGGGTAATCAAGGTGATTTCCTGATTCCGGAAGGTGGGGGTGGGGTAGGGGATGACACCTCAGGAAGCTTCACAGTTAGAAGGGGGAGCTGGACTCCAGCTTGAAAGGAAATGGGAGTGCAGGGGGGCGGGGCATGACACACAACAAAACCTGCCTGACACAACCATAGCCACATTTGCATAACAGAGGCCAAGTATGCTCAGGGGAGTGAGTGGTAATTGGATTCTCAGGTGAATGGGGCCACTTTCCAAATGTGCAGAGGGTAGATGAAAACCCAATTTTGAAGTGGAAGAAGGATCTAGAATGCAGGATCTTTGCAGTGTCTGAATTGAGCAGGCAGGTAATACTGGGAGGGAAAGAGGCTAGCAGCCTGTGGCTGGAGTGTGTGAAGATGGAAGCCTTGAAGTGTTAGGGACATGGCCTTGAATCAATTTCTTCTCTCTCTGCGCCCCAGGCCTCAACTTCTCCCCTCAAAAGACACATCATCCCAGGATCCCCTTGAGTATGGTGTCTGTCAGTGGTGACCTTTATTTTCAGTAGCAGCTAATTTATGCCATACCTTCCATTGCTTGAGTTGAATGGTTCTTTGTAGGAGGCTTTCTTTTTGGGACACCAACCAGCTCCCAAATAAAGACACAGAGACTTCTTATTAGTTATGAATGATTGGTCCTACTTTATGCTTGTCCCACTAGCTCTTATTTTAACCTGTTTCTCTTCGATGTTTTTGCCTTGGGGCCTTTTACCTTTCCTTCATTCTGTATGTCCTATTATTCCTGCTTCTTCCATGGCTGGATGACTGGCTGGCTGGTGGATGCCAGGCATCTCCCTTTCTTTCTCCCTCATTCTTTTCTCTCTTGAGCCTAGATTCCTCCTCCTACTTACTCTCTGTCCACCAACCCCACCTATCCCTCTCCTGCCTAGCTATTGGCCATTCAGCTTTTTGTTAGCTCAATCAGGTGCCTTTGGCAGGCAAGGTAAAACAAATGTAACACATTTTTACATAGTTAAACAAATGCAACACACCTTTACATAATTAAAGTAATATTCCAAAACATAAATAAATGTAACATACCTTTACATAGTTAAAGTAACATTCCACAACAGTTCTTGAAGTCAGTTACTGTACGCTTTCTTAGCATCTCTCTGACACATCAGCCTGACACTCGGTGCTTGTTTCTTAGGTGTTGAGGCTTTGGTCAATGGCAAAGCAAACATTTAAGCCTCTGCCTGTGGCCATCATGATTCAGCAAAGCCTTAGGGACTTGGAGGATACAACACTGCCTACAAACGTGTAGATAATGTCCAGGTGTTAGAATCAGCCCCTAGGTTTCCAAAAAGAGTAGACAGCAATGGCTTTAAAGAATGGCAGGTTCAGTTCAGCCTCATCTTACACCCAGATCCAGCATTAGACCTAATTGCTGTGATGAGAGAATGAGCCAACATTTGTTCTTAAAGGTGTGTGTGTGTGTGTGTGTGTGTGTGTGTGTGTGTGTGTGTGTGTTCACTTAAGTTGTGGTTATTGCGGTTATGGGTGTATTACTGCAAGTCAAGGATTAGCTAAAGCTAAGAGTTTGTGTTCTGGTGGTTTCCATGGTAACCCAAAGCTCCTTTGCTTTCTTCTATCCTTCTGTCCTCTGTGATAGCAGACACTTCTCTCAACAGGAGGGCCAAGGTTGGTTACAAAGAAGGGAAGTCATCCATCCCTCAGCTGCTCTAGACACTTGCTAAGAAGTGACTGTAAATCCAGCAAAGCTACACTGATGTGATGGACATAGAGCCAATGGGCCACCAGCTCCCGCTCCAGGGTCACCACTGTCTCAGAATCCACCCTCCTATGGAAGCCCTCTGTGTTGTAGGCTCAGCTGTGCCCAGAGACACAGCTACACACCCTGGATTCCACGTCTTCTGAGACCAGAATTTGTCTTTAAAACAGAACAGCACGGAGTTAAAAAGCAGACAGCTGGAAGAACTAGAGAGGAGAATGGAGACAGAACAGGAGAATGGAGACAGAACAGGAGAATGGAGACAGAGCAAGAGGGCACAGAGCAGGAGAACAGAGACAGGGCAGGAGAATTGACACAAATACTTCTAACCCTTCACCAGCTTAAAAAAATGTTTTTAATTTGTTTCTGTTTGTTTGTTTTTGTTTTGTTTTCGAGATAGGGTTTCTCTGTGACTTTGGAGGCTGTCCTGGAACTGGCTCTGAAGACCAGGCTGGTCTCAAACTCAGAGGTCCTCCTGCCTCTGCCTCCAGAGTACTGGGATTAAAGGTGTGTGCCATCAACGCCCAGCCCTGTTTTTAATTTTTATGTGTCTGTTGTGAGTGTGCACATGTGGACACAGGTGCCCGAAGAGAGCATCAGATCCACGGGGCCTGGGGTTTCAGGTAGCTTTGAGTGGTTTGACATGGGTCCTAAGCACTCAACACTGGTTCTTCTGCAAGAGCAGCAAGTTTTGTGCCATCTCTCCAGACCCCTTGGTAGTTTTTGTGGTTGTGTGTTTTGAGGCAGGGTCTTACTAGTTTGGTCTGGTACTAGGTAGCCCAGGCTGACCTGAAACTCCGAACAGTGCCCTTGTAGTCACTTGCCAAGTGTTAATTCCTAGTATGTATCACTCCTATTAAGTCAACAGCAGCCCCAAAGAGATTGCAGGCAAAAGCATTAGTCAGAGGCCAGGGCTTGGGTTCTAAACAAATGTAGGTTTATCCTATATATTTTGCTATCTTCAGGTTGCCTACCTGATGGGACATGGGACATAAATCTATAAAACAAAAACCCCTTCCTCCTGCAATGTGTAGTAAAATTTCTCCCCACCTTCTTCTGTAGTATTTTCTGATAGTCACTTAGCTTCATGGTAGACAGAGCCGCAGACTCATGATTCTGTTTAACCTAACAACTGCTGTGTGTGCCAAGCCCAGCTCCAATCGATGGATCAGTTAACTTGTCTCATGCCTACAAAGACCCTAGGCCAGCGGTGCCATTGAGAATGGCCACTTTATGGAGATGTTACATAAGATGTCCAAGGTCACACAGCAAACGAGTGGTAGAGTTTGTGCTTGTGACCTCTGACACAGCGAGAGGAGAATTTAGAGAACTGTCATCCAATCACCTAGCTTTACAGAGACTCACGGTCGACCTTTCCAAGGTCATATTCCACCCATGAGCAGGTTCCATGTGCAAGTATCCAGATAAGCCTTGATGTTCCCATCCTGCCTCAGAGGTGAGCTCCTTATTGCAACCGCAGTTCTGCCTCCTGCATCTGGGGTTCAAGCCCTTGCTCCCTTTCCTTGGAGGGCCCCTACCCAGATGCCCTGTCAGACTGTCAGTCTCACCTTCCTGGTGAAAGTGGGGGAGTTCTGCCCAGTAGTGCCTGCTAAGAATGACAGCACCACCCACCGCCCTGTCATCTCTGCCTAGCTCTGTCCCTGTCAGACGCCTCCCAGCTCACAGCTGTCTGTCAGCAGCTGCTCCAGGATATAAATAACCAGCCGTTGGCAGAGGCACCCTGGGCTGGGTAGGAGGGGGCAGAGTTGGGAGGCGATAAGCAGTGAAGAAACAGAGGTCCTCCTGTGGGCTCAGATACCCAACCCTGTTCCTCCAAGGAGCTAGCTGAAGCTCAGAAGAGGAAGAGAATTTAGACCTAGCAGACCGGAGGGCCAGGGAGGCAGACCGGAGGGCCAGGGAGGCAGACCGGAGGGCCAGGGAGGCAGACCGGAGGGCCAGGGAGCCAGCCGTCAAGGCGGCCCCAGACTTCCCAGTGGCTGCAAGGTCTGGCGCTATTGTGCCAACCCTGGTTCTTGAGGAAGTATTTGAGAGACCCCCTCCCCTCCAGATTGTTGTGTGTAAGGATGCCTGCTCATGCTAGGGGGAGGATTGTGCCAGAGAGGAGGGGTCCCAGAACCCAAGACAAGCACAGAGTGGGGAGGAAGGAGAAGTAAAGAGAAGTTTGAGCAGAAATGGAAGGACACGAGAACATTTATCAAGCCTCTACCAGATGTTGGGTACTTGCGTGCGCGTGCGCGCGCACGCACGCACACACCTC